TGCCAGGGTGTGTATGTGTGCGGATACGGAAGTCCTTCGCTTTACTTTCATCAGGTCTATTCATCGCCATTGGAATTGTCTTTGCGGTCTCTATGTTCCTTGGAACCTTTCTACCATTAAAAGAGGGCTTCATATCAAGTAGTGTCAGCGGTCACTCCTATGAGCTCGATAGCCGTTTCAGACTCCCTACTAGGGGATCGATCTGGCCAGGAGGTAGTTAAAGTCGTCGATGTAGGCGCCGTGTGCATGCATTGATATGTAATTCTAAGGGTTGTCCTCAGGCCGGTCAAGTATGAGCAGGAGCTCCCCGCAGCCTCTCACACGTTGATTCGCCAATGCACATTTACTCTCAAGTGACTGTCTCAGCTCTGTGTTGATAACACGTGGGGAGTGCCTTCAGTTCTCTCTGAAGGCCCCTTATGACCTGTGCTGAATATAGGGTGCTATTCGTCGTAGCAGCGGTCTTGGCTGTGGTATCAGTCGTACTTTGGGGATGCGACCTGCCGGCCGATACCGGCACGTGCACTGAGGATATCGGACATGACAGGTTTATATCTATCAAGAGGCAGAATGATGATCCTGATCACGGGCCCTTTGAGCTGGACTCCTTCTCATGTGGCCAGGGGAAAGCGTAGGCTCATGGGGTAGTTATTTACTGTAGTTGTAGCAACAGTGTGGGAATATATGCATATGGTCAGCCACATATGTTGATGATATATGGAAATTCTGAGGAAATTTTGGGGGGATTCGCATTGCTTTTCTAACCGAATTCGTAAAGAAACTTTTATAGTAAGGGAACTCCTGAGCGCAGCTGAGGGAACCGAACGTATACTCCAATACTGAGTCGCAGTGCTCAGGTTCACTCGGGCGTATCTCTCCCGTTCACAAGACCTGATCCAGCTGTTCACGCCACCGGAAGCTGCGAACATGGTCAACTGCAAGGATATACTGGATGCCGCTCTGGCGCACGCTGAGGATGTCCGTCGCAGGAAACAGAAGAAGTTCTGGTTTGATGGTTCTAAGAAGGCTACGTGGGAAGGGGTATTGGACACATTGTGTATAACAGCTGAAGGCACTGATGACACTGCTGGTGTTGTTACCATTCCTCCGTCTACTCCAACGCCTATGGGGGGACCTGTTTTGAATCCTGGCGTGATGCCTTATTCGAGTACGGAGGAGTTGACGAGAAAGACGGACGCGATTGGGAATGGGAAGAGGCAGCAGAGATCCCTCCGTAGGCAGTAGGAAGATTAATGTTGGTGACATGTTATTGGCTCCTGGTCTATTGACCGCTGTCCTAGTGTGATGGTATGTTGCGCTCAGTTGGGAAGCTTAATGTCTGTAAGGCGATGCGATAGCAATAGTATTTGATTTTATTTTAGTTTAGCATTGTTGAGGACAACAGCGGCAGCATCAGCTCAGCTCTTAGTGTTGAAGCTTTCAACTTGAAAGCGGCGTAGGTAAGATTATGCGAGGAAAGGATAGAGTGTGATACTAGACGGGCTCACCAGTGAGGGCTTGTCACCATATCAGTCACCTCTGGTAGGGTAGGACGGAACCAGAGGGGAATTGCCCTCAGTGCCACTATAGGATCATTGAGCTCGTGATGGACAAGGGAGTAACTATGGTATGGGCATGGTGATGATGATAATGCAGACGAGACCAACAATGATGTTCGCTGTAGAGAAGTCTGTACAGATATCAGGGCACAGCCCTTGGAATTATCCCATGAATGAAATGAGCTCATGATGTTCGACGACGTCGTATGGATAATACCTATATTCGGAGTGCACTCAGCCTCTGAGCCTCAGAGTAATCTCTCAAGGAAAATAACGCTGCATGGAGAATTGTGCTATGAAGTCGTCTGAGGTGGTCGGGTAGCAGGTAGCTTCTACTTGGGAGGTAGAAGTATGTCAAGACGACAACATGCTTATGCTTACTAAGCCTTGTCCTGTGTGTCGATAGAGCCTATAGGCAATGGCATAAGCATTAACTCCTCTTGGTGTAGCATGTACACCAATGCTAACTCTGCTCAGGATCGAAGTACATCGGCGAGGGACCCTCACTGAGTAGTGAGGATTGCCGGACTAGTATGAATGCTCTCTCGAGTTGTGTGAGTTCGGGATAGGCCTGATACTATCTATTGGATAAGCTGTGGTGGAGTGAAGAGGAACCACGGGGAAGGCTGGATGTTCCTTCCCACTAGGGAGACAACAACACAATGGAACAGCCTTCTATGAGACATCAGTTTAGAATTAACTGGTACACTCTGGTACAATCTGAGTACACTAGCAGTATCACGAGAAAAAGCTACGACTTCATGACGGAGTTTCATCTACGCTCAGAGAGGTCAATCCTGGAGGGCGCTGTCGGAGCAGCCCCTCACGCACGCACAGTTCTGGCTAAATTTACGTGAATATTCACGTACCATAATTCACGTTGCC